AAGGTTGAGATGAGGTTGAGGATACCAGAAAAGAAGATTGATACCAGAAAAGAGAAGATTGAGAGGATAGCACAAAGGAGAAAGTTGAGGTGATACCAGAAAGGAGGTTGAGATGATACCAGAAAGGAGACAGTTGAGATGATACCGAAAGAAGAAGGCACCTTCTCCTCTGGTCTTCAAGCTTCCCTTTGCATTTATTTTCTCCTGCCACTTTTCATTCATGGGTGTCTCTTGTCCTTAGCGGCACCACAAGCACTTCTACCGGGCCTAGGATGACAGTCCCTTGTATTCCCAGAAAAAGCTTGCCACTTTTGGAGCGGCTGTTGCCTCCCCGAAGATACTTAAGGGGGCCCCCGTGTTCCTTTGTTCCCAGGAGGAAGGCTGACCTGGATCAGAGTGATGGAGAGGAAGATTTTTACTACACCGAGCTGGATGTCAACGTGGATTCCTTGACCGACGGTCTCTCCAGCCTGACTCCCGTCTCCCCAACCTCCCCGGTTCCCCCTCCCTTTCCAGTCCTGGAGGAGGTCCAGAAAATCCTGCCTATTCCACTCGACCCCAAGGTTTCCGTGGTGTCTCACCTGAGCCAGTCGACACCCCTAAACCTCCTCAGCCAGTCGGCACCCACAGGTCTGGCGCACATCCAAACCGATCATGCCTATCAGGTGTGTGTTTCCAGTCATCCAGAGGAGCCTTTCCGGCCAGATCAAGTGTCCACCAGATCCCACATGTGAAGCGATTCAAATTGACTACAGGTAGTCCTTGACTTCCACAGTCGAGCTGGAAATATTTCCATGGCTAAGCGTTTTGCCCTATGTTACGATTATCCTTGCCACCGTTGCTAAGTGAATCGCTGCAGCTGTTAAGTTAGTCACGCAGTGGTTACGAGAATCTGGCTCCCCGTTTGACTTCGCTCGTTAGAAGGTCGTAAAAGAGGATCGCATGATCCTGGGACATCGTAAATATGGGCCAGTTGCCAAGCGGCTAAATTTTGATGAGGTGACATGGGGGATGCTGCAACGGTTGTAAGTGTGAAAAACAGTCCTATGTCACTTTTTTTCAGTGCCGTTGTAACTTCGAATGGTCACTAAACAGACATAAGTCAAGGACTACCTGTACTTTGTTGTTTTGTGCCTAGGATACAAGAATCTT